TAATAAAGTATTTTTTCATCCAAATATTCATCATAATATAATATATTTGTATATTTATGACTGCGTGTATATTATTAATCAACTTATAAAAACTTTAAGAAAAAATTAATGACCGATAATAGGGTTTCTAAAATTATAAATTCGATCTTATCGTTGAAAACAGAAATATTATCGGTTGGAAAAAAGATGAAGATGTATTATTTCGAAGATATATTATTTCAACTATTTAAATCTAGCTCATTCCTGATGGTCTTGTAGATTATCTCTTTCGTCTTTCCTTTCTTTTTCTCTAAAACAATCAATAAATTAAACATATAATATATTGAAATATAATTATATATATTAATATACATACACACAATATATATATACGTTTACTATATATGTATATATATAGTAAACGCACGAGAGAATGAGATTTAAAACATAAAAATATATTACGCGATAAATTTTAATATACACTTGAATACATTTCAGAGTTGAATAAAAAAATTAGCCTTTTTTATTTAATAATAAGTAAAGTTAAAATTATTTAACTTCCTGTTTCCTATGGAAACAAAATAATGAACACTGTAAAAAGTTATGGATCATTTATACTGGCCGTAACCGTATGTCATATGCCGTAATCTGTAAGAATTAACCGATTAAAGTCGAGTATTCCCCTCTTATTCGACTATAAGAGGGAAATATTCGACTGTGGTTAGTGAATTCTTACAAATCACGGCATACGGCATACGGTTACAGCCAGTATAAATAATCCTTTATTATGAAAACAAATTATTTTAAAAAATAATGCATCTTAATTTATTTCAATATTTCACATTTTTTGTAATAAATATTAATATTTTGCAATAGAAATAAACATCAATTTTTACTTACGCAATTCTTTTGACACGTGAAGGAGCTTGCACGATCCAATTGATCATTAATTTTGAGATTTCTTCCTCGGTTGAAGTTGTATCGTGTAACCGAATAACAGCTAAATACAGACGTATATCAACTTAATAAAGTATATATGATTATTATATATATATTGAGGGTGTACTCTGAGAAATAACTGTTTCTGCTTATTAATGTAAGTTTACACTTATTCCGATTACAGTCTCGAAAGAGACAGATAAAAAAGCCAACAGAAACAGTCAAATTCTAAATATAAGTTTAACGACATAAAAAGTGTTTTACCTATAATTAAACTAACAATTTTAAAATTTCGGAATGCATTTTTTCCTCGAGCTCCTTTCCAACTGTATAACATCAATATTTCATCTTTAATCAATGTTTTAAAACAATTTTTTATTCTGTCTTGAAGATTTATTCCACCTTTTAATTTCAAAAAGTTCTTCTGAAATAATTTATCATGAAATATATCATAATACAAATAAAAAATATTAAATACATAATATTGCTGGGTATTTTATGCATACAAAGTACAATTACATATTACTGTTTATATAATTTATATTTACTATGTATAAAAATAAATCTTATACCATTTTCATAAAAAAATCTTCCTTTTTCAAATTTTCTTCCAACAGATGCAACTGTTCCACTGAAGAAATAGTATCAAAAACAAACACTTCTTCGACAGCAATATTGGCTATCGCTTCATTATTTGCAATGTCTGTTTTATTTTCTAATCTACTGAGCCTTCTTTCAATGTATGTAATTTCTACTAGAATACGGTTTACTTTCTTTAAAATTTCCTTTAACACTACAAATTAAAATATAAAAATTATATATTAAAATATATTATATTAAAAGGAGTAATTATTAAATTATATTTTACTTGTCTCGCCAGATTGATTTTCTTTCTTGTTATTCCAATCGATTGAATCATCGTTGTTATTTGTAACATTAGGATCATTATTTTCATCGATATCTTGATTGTTTTCCATCTTTTTACATATAGAAACCTTTACCTTTTCTTGTTTAACTATTTTCGGTTTTTTTCTCTCCATATTTAGAATCATAATATTTTCATCTTCGGGTGAAATAATTGCGTTTTCGTAAGTCGCTAAAATCTTATTCGAAGAATAATGTGATCCACAAAATTCATTCGGATCTGGTAACTGCAACAGGACGGAATCCATATTTGTACTGGATGAAGATGAGTCGTCAGATGTAAAATTTTTTACAACAGCTCTGTCATGCCGCGTTTGTTTCATTTTCTCTTCATTATCTGTATTAACGTCAGATATATTTTCGGCCATCTTTAACTTTTCTTGACCTCGTTCAAAAGTATCTGCATTTCATTATTGATAATTATAAATACATAAAGCATAGATAATCAAGGCTCTTAGAGATCAGTGCGTTATGCCAAATGCTGCCATGGAGATCTACTTACAATTTATTTTTAGTTGCATATGCTCTTTCGTTGCTAAACGCAATGGGCATACTGCATTGATTTCTTTCAACCTTATTATAAGAATACAATTAATAAAAGTGTGAAATATATGCCAACAGGCTGCTGTCAAAAAAGAATTAAAATCTATAACTGTACATATACCTGCTGAAGCAATAATATGTAAAATATCATACATCGCCCATCCAGCTTGTACATTTTTCAAATCAGGTTCTTCTCTGGTCTGTATAGCCTTATTAAGTTTCTTTTTTGAATCATAATTCGGATAAAAGCAAACGTAAAAATCTTCTGATAGTGATAGCCGCAACCAATTATTCGGTACTAGTGCTATCCCATCATCGAATTCAATGATGTAGAAGTTGTGTGTAAGCTGCAAATAAAATGCATTAATGATAATTTAATTTATCAATAATAAATATTACGCGTGCAGTCATAATGTGTATTTTTAAATTTACCTTAAATGAATTAGAGTTGCTCATCTTCTCCATATTTAATTATTAATTATATAATTAATCTTCTTTATCGTATTGATGGTAATAAAACTGTTTCAGTTATGAAAAATCTAATATACAAAAATATTCCATACTATACGATGTAAAACAAAAGTACACAAAACAAAAAGCACATAACCTATTAAAATCTCTGCTTCACACAGTTTATTATATTATAAATTAAAATATTTTAATTCTAAAAAATAAAATGCAATCTCGTGTCCCACATAGCAGAAATATCCTGAAATATATCGTATATACATTCTAGATGTTATTGTGTCATCTTTACATTGTCCCTGTGATATAATTTCGACATTTCTGTTATATGAGGTACATATAATACAAATACGTGGCAAAACATTAAAGTAAATATTTAACGATTTATAATATTTAGTTTTGTGTTTACCTTTACCCTCCGAATAGTTTATTTTATAGATTATTCTTTTTCTTAATCACAATTTGATTCATACAGCAAAACTCGTTCGTTTTGGACAAGCTGCGCTACTATTGCTGACGCAAGTTTGCAACATTGCAGGTTCATACACGCTTGGTAATGTGGGATTCAAGTGTTATCAAAATATATTGGCTGCGTTTAATGGACTCAACAGTTGAGTTCATTGAGCGTTCGCTGCTGCTGATGTATTCTTTTAGATCTAAAATTCTGATGGGATGATCTAAAAGAATACACCAATAATAACGAGCGTTCACAAATCTGTTAAATCCGCTGAACGCGCCCATTGACGCGTTTTTATTTACTTATTATAACATAATATATACTGTAGAACGATTTGATTAAACAATTTTAAGAGATTTTACTATTTTTTTTATTTTTTAGACAATTTTATTGCAAATAAAATTAAAGATTAATCTTTGAATTATTATTGTTTACATTTGGAATTATAACATTATTATGATAATCATACAATATAATGTATATATTGTTGATTATATGCTTTGAAAGTTTTACTGTCTAGGAACGTGTCGAAGAGGAATGACATACAATTTTGAATCAAATTTAATTTTCCATATCTTTCCCTGTATTTCATTCAAAGGATAAGATATTACTTTATTATTTATTTCCTCGACTGCATAAATGTCCAAATTCTCTGATGAGAATGGTTGTAAATACAAATCACCTATTTTCTTGATTTTATAACCAATAATATAAATTGTATTATTATTGGTATATTTAACGATGTTCTTAACAGTCATTAAGTTTCCATCTTTTGTTATAATGCAATTATTTGCCTCACTTTTGCAATCAATTTCATAATTACCTAATAATATTAATTTTCTATATTGTGATTCAACAATATCTTGAAATTCATCGATCAATAAACCAGCATTATGTTTTGTTTTCAATTGAAATGTATTACTTGAATGTAATAATTTATTGCTCATGCTCTCATACTTATTTAGTCTTCTTTCTGTGTATCGTCGTACAATTTGTTGCAGTGGTTTTTCTGCTTTATGCAGAAAATTTTTTAATGTTTGTAAAAAGTTTTCAAACCGAAATGAGCTAAAGGAATCCAGCGGCCCAAATTTTCGAACTTTATTTGACAGATGTAATAAATTATGAACATTGTGGGATACATTTTCCTTGCCATAAATTTTCTCAAATGATTGAACGAAATGTTGCAACAGTTTTTCTGCGTAATCTACATTGTTTTTATTTGCTGTTAGTATTGGACTGATAAGTATTGATATACTTACGTGCAAAGTCAAAAAGTTTATATATAGATCTCTTTTTAAAACATTTTTTAAAACAAAAGGTCCACTGTATAGTAAAAATTGTCTAAATTCTGTGGCTTTCCAATACGCTAATTCGTTTAAACTTCGCGGTCGCCTTGAAAATTCTTTCGGTACTGTACTTCTTAAATTAAGAAGTGCTTGTGAAATATTTTCTTTAGCTTGATTATTAATGCGAATAGCTAGCGGTCCATTCATCCATAATAATATCATTTTTTTTACAATGCCCAAACAAATCAAATGCATATAGTCAAGAGTAATATTCGAGACCAATCCTAAATTAGGCACAGAGAGCAAAATTGTGGGATCTCCTTGATGATAATCAAAATCTGTTTGACGTACAAAATCTTCGTCAGACCTGAGTGCACTTGATCTCTTTTCATAAGGAAAGCAGATTTTATTATTAATATAGTCTCCGTAAATGGTACATTTAGTACAACTTGAATAGCCATTATGTCCTTTAACGTTTAAAATAAAAGCTTTCGCTGGAGCATCGCAAATAATGGCCTTGACATTTACTTTAATATCACAATCTAACAAGTTTGAATGAAATCCTTTCTGTATTAACGGTATTAATTCTTCTACAAATTGCTGTAAAAATTCATTAGATTTATTTGGTTTCTTTTTACCATAAAACAACCCAACGATATGAACTTGATTTAAAATATCATCTGAAACTAGAATTGGCCAAAAACAGCTACTTGCTGACGATTTAGATAATGGCAGGCCATCTATGTTAAATAATAAATAAATTTCAGATACTTTTACAGATATATTTTTATAGTCCAACAAGAGTGACTCCAAGATGTTAGAGAGACCAAAATGGTAATAAGATCCTCCAGATAATGCAATTATGTTAGTAGTTTTTTTAGGCGTTTTTAAAAGCGTTCTTACATCCTTTGGCAGGGTTTTCAATTGTGCATTTGAAGCATGCCTCAAAATTTTCATTAAGGCATCAATTGCATTATGTTTAATTTTAAACTCAAAAGACCAATTACGAATATCATGTAATAATCGGTTATTCTTATCTTCACCGTCATCAATATCCTTATCGTCTCTATCATCTGCATCTACATCGTCTGCATTGCTACTCGTATTATCAGAATCATATGAAAAGCTTTGCAATCCTTCTTCACCTTCAAAATCAACAAAATCTTCGTTGTCTGTAATCATTTCTAGCGAATTATCATCTATTTGATCTGATAAAAATTCTTGATTATTGTTATTACTAATTTTTGATGGTGTTGAAATTGATTGCTCAGTTTGATTCTCATTCTTAATGCTGACAAATTCGTTAATAGATTTTTTGATTGATGATTCAAAATCAGAAGCACCACTGTGTAATCGTTTCATAAACATCAAATCTTTTTCTGTCTCTGTTTGAGCTAATCTTCTTTTATGTCTCGTTGAAATTTGAGACTTATTATTACCTTTATTCATGTTATCTTATTTATTTATACAATGCAACCTATAATAATCTATTATTTACGTAACACTTAATATCCAAATCTATTAAAAAATAAAAATTACCTTTGATTAACAAAAATGTACGTACTCTTACCCGATAGGGCGTCTAAGAGTATGCGATGATGTCGGATAAGAGTAAGCAATTCAGGAATTTAACAGTAATCGCATATAAGTATTCCTCTTTTAAATTCAGAATAGGCTTTGTAGGCACTAAAAAAAATTTCTGAGGAAAAATGGACGAATCAACCTATAATAATCTACATTATATTATACGTAACACTTAAAATCCAAATCAATTAAAAAATAAAAATTACCTTTGATTGTATATATTCTTATTTATCGTTTTAATTTATATATAGTTCTATATGTAAGTATTAACACAAATGTAAGCGACTATAATAACATGACCAACCAAACTTAATTTATTGCTGCTTATGCGATTATTTGAGGTTAGTCGAGCAATTACCCAGTCAAAAATAACAATGAAATCGATGTCGAATCGATATCGATTCGATATTGATTCCATTATTATTTCTGACTGATAAGTATACCTGATGGGTACTATAGTACGCGTACGTGATATTTGGTTAAATATATACAATATGTATCTATTAACTACGTGATTAATACATTCATAATTCTATATATGCAATACATATATCTGCTATGTATTACATATATATTTCGATGCAGATATTTCGAACCAGTTGCATGAATTACATATTTAATACATTATATTTAATATGAAATAAAATGCAATGTTAATGCAACATAAATACGTATTTAATATATATTTGCCATGAAAGATGCTGTGCGGGTAAATAAAAAATTAGAAAATTTAAATAATTATGATATAAGTGACGAACATTAACAAATATTGTATTGTGACTAAGAATCTGTTTACACACTAACTCATGTTTCACTAAAGTTAAAATTTAATCAGTAGTCAAAATGCCGCTGTACAAAATCCAAACGAAATGCTGCGCCAGTTTGTACAACTGCATGTAGAACAGCAGGTTCTTCTTCTTCGCTATCACTTTGGTTCTCATCATCATCATCAATTTCTGTAACAAATGTTATATAATGTATATTATGCAAAACATTTATGTATGTTAACAAAGTTTCTGTACGTTCTATTTTATGTATGTTACATACTTGAATAAGTTTTATTTATACACACATATATATATATATACATATATATAAATTTACATTTTTATATAACATTTTATTAAAAAATATAAATGTTTGTCTCTAATAATAAAAACATTAGGTTATATACTAAGTTAAATTATACTTGTAATAGTACGACCACATCATATCTAGAATATCTAGATGCATATGCATATTAAATAATACAAACCTAATTCTATTTGGCAGCATCCTTTAGCATAAAAACGTAGAGCAATTAGTACTTGTAATGTTAATATGTCTTTCTCATGCCCTGCTCCAGAAGATAACCTCTTTTCAACTAAGCCTATAACGAATCGCACTGTTTCTTTAGATAATCTGTATCGATTTCGAAATTCAATTTCATTGTTCAAATGGAATCTATCCTGTTACGGAAAATTGGCGGCCTTCTCTGTTGTATTTGCAACACATCCCGTATTTCCCGTATTTCATTAATTACACGATTGTATTCCATTTCTGACAGAACTTGTTAGCGTACTTAAACATAGTCCTTACCACTTTTATCGCACACTGTTAAGATTTTGAGATGTTAGCGCGTAATTAAGACTTATTAGTGGTTCTGAATAAGATTTTTGTCATAAACACGCATGATTATAATAGCGCGCTGCTATCATCGAGTTTAGAATACGAGCACTAA